CCCACCCAACAAAAAAAAAAGAAATATGTAGGTTTGTGAGAGAGAGCATGCATCAAACTCTTTCGCTGATGGTTTGGCTCATTCTCTCTACTATTCCATTTTTTGTTGATGAGTCTTCAATATTGCATTCTCAAGTCTGATATCATGGCCTTTGCAATACTCTTCAAATGGTCCTCAGTATTGACCACTATTGTCCAACTTCACAGACTTTAGCTTCTTGCATATCTTTTTCAACTTTGGCATGTAACTCCTTGAATGCATCTAACACCTAATCTTTGGTGTTTAAGGGGAAAACCTCCTTGAATGCATCTAACAACTAATCTTCTGGAGTAGTCATCAATAAAAGTTACAAAATATTGTGCACCACTAATAGGTCTTTCAGACATAGGGCACTCATTAGTATGAACAAGATCTACTTCCTTCTCAGTAAAGGAGAACTACAAAATGCAGCTCTGCTCTGCTTTCCCAAAATGCAATGCTCACATGTTTTGAAATGTATACCATTCACATCAAGGAGAATCTGCTTCCTGACTAGCATTTACATTCCCTTCTCACTCATGTGCGCAAGCCTTTTATGCTATAGTTCAGTGGAGGATTCATCTGCAGCATTTGTCTCTCCCCTAAATAGCTTAGCTTGTGTCTTATAGGGTGTTTCTTGCTTGTTTCCATGGGCGACGACCAATGACCCTTTCGAGCCTTCCATTTCCAAAGTTGCTAACACAATCATCATCATCAAGTTCCAGTCGAAATAAGATTGAGACGAATATCAGGTACATGGCTTACATTCTTAAGTGTCAACCTTAGAGAAATTATGGTTCTTGCAAAATTTTCTGCTGGTTGAAATTTCCAGACTACTCGCACTCTCTTGTGTTCTCTCTGCTTCTCACTGTTTGCTATATCTTGCAACCAATCTTTAGAGCCTTTATAAAGTCATCTCCTAGACAATGCGTAAGTTAATACATAATTGCTCTTTCATATTTTTAAGAGCAACTTTCAAAACTTTCTTGACTTTGCATCTTTCAATGCAATCTTCAAGCTTCTGTGATCAACACCGTTTATGCTTCTTGGAGTTTGGATCCCAATAAGAGAGACCCCTCAATATTCATAACTATGCAAATACAACAATAATTAATCTGTCAAATTGCTGCGCTCATCTAAAACTAAGAAAAGGCTATAATTATTTTAATGAAATATAGTTGAAACACAGAAAAACTTTTAGCTTTATGAGTATTCTCGGAGGCCATATAAAAAATTCTATCCAAAGGAAATAAAATATGGTGGGCATGACTCAAAGATGACTCAAGTGGGCTCCCATTGTACGTACCTTACTTCACTACTTATTTCATGTGAAACCAGAGGGCCCTAGCTAACCCTTTAATTAGTGGTTAGTTGCACATAACCCCCTTGAAATATCATGTTGTGAAACTAATCATTTCCGTACTTTGATTTTGATGTACAAAGCTTTCGAGTGCATTTTTTTTTTTTTGTATTTGAAGTCATCAAGTCGCTCTAAAGGGGAAATAGTTGGCAAATTTCATCTGGAAGCTCTATATATCTATCAAAATCAATCTACAGGGATGATAAATTTTAAAGTGCCTGATCGAGTGTATTTGATATTAACCCTTTAGCTAACCAGCCTACTAGAGAAGAAAGTTATTACCCTATGTCTACCATTAAGTCTGCTCAAATTTCCTTCTGTTCAAATTTCCTTATAACAAAGTGGAGGGTTTGCACAGTAGCATTCGTACGCCAACCATTGACGTTTGGTTGTAATAATGAATTTTTTCCAACTCAAAATTTCCATCTCAAATCTGAAGTTTGACATACAAATACTTCTTTTTGGAATCTAATCCCACATATTGTTGGAATTCATAGGTGAGTATATATAGTCCAATATTAAAAAAGTATCAAAGGGTTGTTAGCTTGCTGTTTAGCTAATTTCTTGGGAACCAGATAAAAGGAAACGAGGGGAGGAAACTATCAAATATGGTTTCCTCCTACTTTATTAAAAAATCCATGAAATGGGTTTCTTAGAATATGAAGCACATCAACTAATTAATAAGAATGTGCAAATCATTATTATTTTTGGTTTAAGAAGTGAACGAAACAAAGAAATTAAAGAGAACTATTACATGAAAATATAACGTGGACACTACATTTATGAGGTTTTTGATTAAATTAGTTTGACTGGTGGCAAAGAGTGACTGAAGTCTAATTAGCCCATCAGAATGTCCTGTCAGATTAAGCTCACAAAAAGATTCTACTCTACGGCATCTTGGCTAAGCTAATATTCAACTGATAACTAACCGTCACGCTCTCACTTAAAAAGGATGTGTGGTTCAGTGCAATTGCTACAACTATTGCCCATTGCAAGTTCTTGAATTGGTTATGAAGTTTCTCAGTCCACAATTGTTCTTGCGATATTAAAATTTTCGTTGCAGACTTGCAATTCTAGATAATTTAAATCTCATAATTTTTGTAGCTCAAAAAGCTTGCAACTACGGTTTGCATTCAAACACGTGCAACCCATAACTAGTACATGCCAGGAGTCTGGTGCCTTACCTCTCACTCTCAATCAGATGATGTTTGCTCAGTCTTTTACTTCAACAATTTGAAAGAAAAAACTATGAAACACACCTAAATCATGGTCCATGGAGTTACTACGTTATTACTGCTTCTTCCCTTATATTATAGTGGAAGGTGTGAGGTTCTTTCCCCTCAAGATAGATAATTTTCCTTGGTACTATGTCAATCTTGGATGCTCTCCCCTAAGTTTTAGACATTAATGGACAGTTTGTGATTAGTCGTTAAATCAATCACGGCCGACTAAATATTAACGCATAGTTAGTGACTAGATCAAGATCCAAAACTGCTGGGCTAAGTGGACATAATATCACTATGTTAAGCCTACTGTCCTTTAGTTTTATTATTACAGATAAACCCCTTGAGAAAAGTTATCTTACATTTTTTTCCGTCACAGGAATTGAAGAGAGAGTTATTTTGATAAATACCCCCTCGATCGAGGCAAAAGAGCCACACAAAAAAAGCACTCAAGGGGTCTATCCGCAACAATAAAACTAGAAGGGTGTTAAGTACGAAACATCCATACTAAATGGGGTCTATTCACAAAAGTAATTGAGAACACGAGGGCAAGATCCTTCTGGGTTTGCTGTTGTACACACCGCCATTAATTTGTTAGGAAAATACTACACATGGTGAGACCGTGAGAGTCCATAAAAAAGGGTCCAACCTTCACCACCATTAAACAAGTGGTGCAGTGGTGAAGAAAAGAAAAACAAAAGCAAGTAAAAGCCTCCAATAATCTCCTCACCCTTTTCTAAAAGGAGGAGACGCCACTCTAATCCAACGCAATTCCTTTCCCCTCCTTATTTAAACACTCTTCATCACCCTATGTTCTAACTTCTATCTTATTGATTAGCAAACCGATATCTAGCTAGTTAAGCCTCTTCAAGCTAGCTAGCTAGCTCAAAAGCCATGAAGAATTATAGAAGGAAGACTACACAACTTGTTGAAAGTCTCTTCAAGCTCTTTACAAGAACCATTTGCCTTGGGTTATTCCTTTCAAGTCCTGTATGGCTCCCTCTCATCTTCTCCTTCTTCAAGGTCTTGTTCATGACAGTTTTCGTTGCCGTCCTCTTCACAAAGTCGAAGGACTCCATGTGTTCTTCTCCTTCTCATGATATATATGAGGAGTATGTTAGGAGAAACAAGAGGCTTCAGAGGCAAGTGGAGAGGGATGAGGTTGAAGAGGGAAAAGAGTTTAAAGAGGAGGACGAGGAAGAGGGAGATAATGGAATAGATGAATTGAATAAGAGGGTTGAGGAGTTCATTGCTAAGGTTAACGAGCAAAGGAGAATAGAAGCAAGAACAGTGGCATGTTGTGGATGGGTAGAGGACGAGATATTCAGTGAAAGGATTGTGGAGAATGATTTTAGTTACTAGTCCAGAGTAAGGAATTATATGCTTATCAATCTATATTGGAATGAACAAGAGAGTATTTTTAGAATAAACTCAAAGATGAATACGCTCTTTTGCTAATTAATTGTAAGATCAGCTTCTTTCTGATATGACATGGCTTTACACCAAAGTTGGCAACCGACTCAGAGCGATGTGACATATATATGTATCGATTCAGAAATCTATAGTCGTCTGCTTCACTTCCAGTTCCTGTTCCTAATTCTCTTATAACTTACAATACTTCTTGATGTATATTCTTTTTATTTTCCTTAATTAATAAACATTTTGGATCTATTGACGTTACTAAAAAACTATATGTCCCCCTACATGTCAATCCTTCAAAAAAATATCCATCTATTATCTATCCAATAAATGTTCTTTGTTTCAATATATTCTTTGTGTATAAATTTATCTACATAGTTAATTTGTAAAAGAAGCATGTAGTAGTGCTCTTAAAAATCAAGGGTTAACTGCAGACAGACCACATGTAGTATCACTATAACTATTTTAACCTTACTGTCCCTCTACTTTTGTTTTTTAGATAGACCCCTAGAGTGATTAATTTTATTTTGACTCTTTTACACTCAATTAACCTTACTGTCCCTCTACTTTTGTTTTTTAGATAGACCCCTAGAGTGATTAATTTTATTTTGACTCTTTTACACTCAA